AAAGAAAATGTTTATCGCTTTACAGAAATAGAATAAGAAAAGATATCATCAGCTTTATAGTGTTTATAAAACATTATTTTTGCATGACTCATGATGCGAAGCTTTGTTAGTTCACGATGATCTAACTCACGTTAGTTCATGATGCAAAGCTTTGTTAATTCACGGAAACAAGATATTTTACATACATACTATTGTCAAAATAATTTAATAGAGATTAATTCCATATTTTCCAAAAATTTATTAAGTGCATTCGAAACGGAATAAAAACATCAAAATTGATTAAAAATTTACCTGTCCATTATAAATGAAACCCTGAAAACACTGTTACTTGCGGAAAAAATCCATTGATTATCAAACTTTTTTTTAACTTCCCACTAGGAGAATCGAAGATTTTCGGAAATCGGGAAGTTATTGGTTTTACCCCATTTTGCAAAAATCGAGTTTTCATCAGATCTCGACCTTTTTAGGTGCGAGGAAGCTTCCCTGACAATTCCCGCGATGTTGTCACTATGTCTGTGGCTGCGTGTATGAGAGACTATGTGAACCGCTTATAACTTTTGAACGGGTGAACCGATTTCATCGCAGTTACTGTCATTCGAAAGGGCTTGGCCGAACTTAGATTTCGAATACAATTTGGACCGATTCGGACTGGTAGATTTTGAAAAATCTCAAAAAAACCAAGAAAAAAATTTTTTCAAATGTGGTTTTTTGGAATAACTTTTGGAATAACTTTTAAACGGCTTATCGATCTATTCCAAAAACTGATCAGCTATTAACTTAAAAAAACTACGTCGATAGCCTCCAGCCCGGGAAAATTTGGTCGATTAATTCGTGAGTTATCGTTGTCGAAAGAAAACCGAAAAAAGTGTTTTTTTCGGAATTACTTCGAAATTCCTAGTTTGATCAATTCCAACTTAAAAATTCTTCATAAGGCTAAAAAAAACTGCGTCGAACGCCGCCAATCGCGTAAAAATCGGTTCATTCATTCAAAAGTTATTGCGGTTTGAAAATTCAAAAAATTGTGTTCTATGAAACTTCTATCAGACTTTTAAGCTCGAAGAACTCACACGCATAAAAAAAGCTATTTTTTGAGCTCGGAAAGCTCAAAATAACACAGAAATTGTATTTTTGGACTTTTTGAGCTCAAAAACATCATAAGTGCATTTTTAAGCGCCTAGGTATGGAATTAGCGGGAAGTTGCAGGGATGGCCTTCAGGGTAAACCGTTTCCCTAATTTTTTTTTTTAATTCTTCGAAACAATTATAGGTCACTGACTTCGAATGGCTAGGTAACTCGATCGTTTATTTGCAATTAAGAAAATTAAAAAAAAAAACCAAAAGACTGTATATCTATATGGAGTATTCCATGCCAAATCGACCACTTTTGAACCCGACCCCTTTAGATTTAGCTGAAACTTTTCTATTCTTTTCTACCCTTTAAAAGACATTTTTGAGAACTTTTTCAAATATTTTTATCCAACCCAAAAAAAGTTATGAATTTTTCAAAAAAATGGCTTTTTTATTTTTAAATAGCCATAACTTTTTTAGACATTGACCTTTGAGTACCTTTTTTTTTTAAATTTTTGTTTTTGAATGAACTTTTCGAAAAAATACACAAAAAAATTAAATATGATCAATTCTATTAAATAATCGGTTTTTTTTAGCAAAATCGTCATTTTTTCAAAGTTAGTCACTTTTTTTTCTCAAAAAAAACTTCAATTAACAACAACTATTCCTGCTTATCCCGGACAGGGCCGATTTTTTTTATATTTCTTTTATTTAATTGAAAAAAAAATTGTCAAATTTTCTAAAATAAAAAAAAAATTTTTTTTTCACATATATATTGTGTACATTTATCCCACTAGAGGCGCTTGCGCATTATCGCTCTATTTCAGCTGTTTTATATTTTTTTCCACATTTGCTTTATTTTATTATAATTTCATAATTATTTGCCATTTTATCATTTTACTTAAATATTTTACCATTTTATCTTAATCATAATTTGATAGAGAATTCATGTAAATTACAGAATATTTAGTCTGTTTATTTGTCAATTAGTGTATCAAAACTTATGCCAAGAAATTGTAATATAATTATTAATATTTATTTATTAGAATACAACTAAAAGAATTAAAATTTCATTAAGTATCAACAGCTTGTAATACAAAATAGACATGACAGTTTGTTAAATTACGTAAAATGATATTATTTGAATAAAAACTTGTTTCACAGACAATGAAGCCCCACCAGTAGAACAATCTGACGACGGCTGGTTAAACTATACCAAGATTAGCAGGAACGACAGTGGCTGGTACAAGTGTTACACCAGGCACACTTTGGGGGTTTTTTCAAGTATCGGATACTTTCTTGTTGTACGAGGTAAGTTTCTACCAACCATTAAATTTTTAATTTAAAATAATCATGGAACAACATGTTATCCATAAATAACTATAAACATAAAATTAATTCTTGGGTATGTAATGACAAGAGGGTACATTTTCCTATTTGGAAACTTGGTGTTTTCGATAATGAAGAACCACAGTGATTTGTCAAGAGAGGAAACCGCTAGATCGTCCGGAAATTATTCGGGTCTCGTAGCGAAAATTTGCAAATTTCCTCTGCGCTAGTGGCATCAAGCAGAAAGCATCTGATTTTAGGCGCAGACGCCTAGTATCATTCTGTCTCGATCTCTCATTTCATTTCTCGACCTTTCTCTCTCTCTCCCGGTTTAACTCTGTCCTTTCTTCTCACATACTATCATGATGCTCTCCACTCGACGCCTTATCCAAACGTGGTATCTCCTATGTCGACGCTTGCCACGATGATCCCGGTATACACCAGTTTCCGATCGCCTAATCTCTCCGCAATTTGGGCGGCTCGAGAGCCCATAAACTAAAGATCTCTCTTTCTCTCTCTCTTGTATGTAATCATCGATTACATGGTTCAGCATCGCCTTCAAATGCCCGCCGGATTACTTATCCCAATTTAACATGCTCATAGATCCAGAATTGGGAATCTCTATGAAGCTTACAGTCACTAAGTTGATTCATAGGCCATTCGATGTCTGTCATCATTCCATTAGATCCGATTACAACCCACTTAATAATAAGTCATCGGTACTTTTGACGAAACCTAAGTCAAGTAATTGGAGAAAATCTTCGAGTGTTCGATGTGTTGCTCTCTTATATATGAGCTCTTTGTAGTGCAACAGGAGTGCAGCAGGGTTTACTCGGTATTTTAAAGACTTTTAAGGCTCTCTTTCTGTCAGTCTTCTTCTACCAGGCCTCTTTTTTTATTTTTTTATTTTCCTCCTCGAGTCTAGAAGCTAGCACTCTTCCATTCTCTTTCACCACAGCCATCCGGTCGACACGCTCGCGTAAACCCTTTTCTCCCTTTTCTCATCTTCTCTTGCTGTATTTTAGTTGTTTTTTTTATCTATTTAGTTTTTTCCTTTTTTATCACTCATACTCTTATTTCTTTTTCCTCCTGCCGATTTTTGTTCAAATAACAATCTCACAGAAGCTATTGCTTAATGGTTGTAAGTACTCATGAACAAAGCACATTAACTTGAAGAACAAACGATTAGACGTAATTCACCCAAAAAAGAAAAAAAAACATATGAGGTAGATTGTGCTAGGGAATAAAGATTTTGTTGAAGGACAACGATAAAGGCGATGTCAATACATCCAGGCTCAGAAAATTCTATACTATACGCCAAAGTTTATCCTTAGTACGTGCTTAGCCGACTCGATATACCGCCGGATCTTCTGGACTTACTCGAGACATATAGATGACAAAGACGAGTACTAGATGATCGCTATACTCCTTTATCTCCCTATCTTTACCTTGATGTACATACATATCACGTAGAGTAGACGCCAACGATAGTTGTGTATCTAGCCAAGATTTGGCACGTGCTCGAGTAAAACTCTCAAGAAATATAAAATATTAAATGGCTGCTTTAACATCATCAGAAATTAATTTATTCGCTCTGAGAATCTGAGACGTTACTTTCAAAAATCTTCATTTTATTAAGGCTCAAACTCAAGTCTTGATAATTTACTCATTTTCAGGTCAAATACTAAGATACTTACTAAAATAATATTATGTAGTAAATTGGTTACATTTAATCTTATCAATCATCTTAGTCTACACGATCTTACTCACAATTTAATCTTAATAAATAAATAGTTCGTTAATTAAGAAGCAAGATACAAGTAATCGCTTGAATTTTTCTCAATTTCTATAAATTTTTTATTTTAGATAAATTAGTCAACATTGTTAAATCTTGGAAGATAGATCATTTATATTTTTAAATTTATTTATTTATTTATTTCATCTGGTAAGGAATTCTATCGAGGTGTGAAGACACCTGTTTATAGAATCAGTACAAAAATATCAATTTTATAATACATATACTTTTTACAAAATTTTTGTCGATAATACAATGCAAAGAAATAATAAGTACAAAAAGTAATAAATTTATAAAGAAAGAAATACAAAATTATAAATAATTATCAGAAAAAGAAATATCCAATCAAATACTCGCATTTTCCATTACATTTTTTAAGCATGTTAACCATTAAGGTTTCTTATCCAGTAACTTAACTTTTTTTTTAACAATTTCTTACTACAGTCTATAGTTTTCATATCAGCAGGGAGTTTGTTATAATATTTAATTGCTACATAATAAGCATTCTGAGTACTAATAGTTTTGTTTATTTTTGGTAGAATTAGCAGCTTAGATCTTGTATTTGAAACATTTTTCATAGAATAGGTTTTTACATTCTTGATAGTAGTAAGTTAATGCATTTATTATAAATAAGTCTCTAATTGTCAAGGGGATATTGTTGTAATTATTTTTACATAGCTTTTTAATTATTTTTTAATTAATAATTAAACATTATAAATCATTAATAATTTTCACGAATTCTCTTTAAAAACCTTTTTTGTAGATGATTTATTTAATTTTTCGTATTATTACCCGGTTATTTAGGGCAGTTAGCAGTTTTGATCTGTAAAAACTAGTTCGGGCATCGTAAGGTTGTACTCAGCCATTATTTTTTTCGTCATTTTCACAACATCAATCAATGGCTTTACTTGTCTTGTATATAACGACAGGATTTCTTCACTGAAAAAAGTTTTAAATAGTTAAAATAAACAATTACTTTACATAAAAAATCAAAAAATAAAATTTCGAAGCTTTACACTTACCGCTTATTTTGTCCACGAGACATACAACCCCAAGTGATGCCAAAATTGATATAATCTATGCCGAGTACTACTACTTCATATGGCGCATTTCCTACTATTGGTATATGGTTGTTAACTTTTAATACATTATTGCGAGTCATATACATCTCCGCTAGACTTTTTAGGGTTTCATGCGTCCTAATTTTGAGAAAAATAACAAAAAATTAAAACAGTTTTTTATAAAAATATCTTTCAACAAATGAGAAGTGTGCAAAAAAAATTAAATTTTTTAATTTAATTTCGTAAAATATTCTTAGCAAAAATTAGTAAAATTTGAAATTACGTTTTTGATCTACTGATGAGTTTAACTGTTGATACATAATTTTTAGGTGGCAGCCAAATTTGGTTCGCACATATTTGCAAAGGATCGTACCTACTGACACTTACTGCGTACTGGTGCCATATTCCAATCATCTAGCAAATAAAATTTTAATATGTAAGGTGAAAGCTCCAGTACCTGTTCAGGAACCAGTATCTGCTCACTCCGTGTATTTGTATATCTATATTAACAAATGTAGATATACAAATAAATGGAGTGAGCAGGTACTGGTTCCTAAACAGCTACTGGGGCTCTTATCTTAATGATCTATTGATAAAAAAATATTAAAAATTATAATTTCAAAAAATAATAACAACAATTATACCCGTGAAAAAATCAGGGATGTATTAGATTTTTTCACTGGTAATAATAATGTTTAAAAATCATACACACTTTTTCCAAATTCAATGGAACCCCAGTGATTTTTGGACAAGGTCCGTCTAGAACTAGAGAAAATGATGCCGTAAAAAGACAAAAAATGACCGAAAAAGTTAGTACAACCATTTTGACGAAAATTGATTTGGAATATTAAAATAAAACTGCTCTTTACCACAAATGTCTTTTATATAAATTGGTACTCTGTTTTATAATCACTTATCCAAATATTTGTTTTTGTATTTTTGTCTGATGATATTTTAATTTCGCAACATAAAGCGCCTGGAAATATTTGGTTATTCATACTTGGTTGAAGTTTTCATACAAATTTATACCTGAGTTGAGATTTAATTAACTTTGTTCAGACTTGTTAGAGTTATTCGAAAAGAAAAATATTTAAAATAAAAATTAATATTGATTCTTATTAAATAAGTGAAATAACAGAGTTATTAAAATAATCGGAAATCTTTATTTTAATTAATAATATAATAATTCAAAATAAGATTAACACAGAAAGAATGTCAAAAAAATTAATCTCGTTAATTTCTATGTGATAAATAAATAAATGAATTTTTTTTTAAGTAATAAATAATATTATTCTCTTAAAAAAAAGCTTACAAACAATCAAAAAAAGAAATTATTTACGACACTTGCAATTAAAATTTAAAATCTTCTTGATTTGATTACCCTTTCATGAAAATTTTTTCTTATTTATATTTATATTAATTCACACTAGCATTTACCCTTTAAAACCAAACTTCCCAGCCATCTATCACTTCCACAAAAAAACCGTATTCAATGATTTAATTCATGAAACCATTAAAAAAATTTATCACCTTAATTACAACTCGCCTCTCTTCTCAATTTATAACTCAATTACACCCATTGTTTGACTTAAACACCGCCATCAATATTCAAGATTTATCGCCACCTGAAAAAACTCAGTGACAATATTCGACATTGATCGTTACCATGTGGTTTAGGGTGCGTAAAAATTTCACCGCTTCCCTGTGTCTAATACCTTTAAAAAAAAAAATAAAATAAATAAAAAACAGAGTATAAATATTAAACAAAAAAAAGCCAAATTTCTTGCTGTAAAAACGATCATTAAATTTTGTTTGATAAAAATCATCCCTTAGAACTCACAAAGGTTAAGGATTTGTGGGGAGAGGATTTTGTTCTTGAGGCTTATATATTCATCAATTGTCAAGAAACACGAGTTTTATTTATCTATTACACGTCAGGGCGATCGAATCGCTCGGGATTATGCGTAGCATATGCCTCGAATATACACACACATACACACAAATATACTCTACCTCGGAATAATTCCCATTGGGGGTTGCGGGAACCGAGTGGGCAACCCCCCAATTAGGAGCACCCCTTGCTGGTTCGTACTCGGCTCTCTTGGCCTCTCGAAACTACTTCATTACGCAGACAGCCGTGTTGACTTGTATTGTACCAGTTACATGGAGTTGACTACCCTCTCTAGTGCATACATATAGTATAGGGTGGTTACGCTCGTCCCTTAAAGCTCCTATATCTACGGTACAGATATATGCTATTGAACATGCATAGAACCTAGACATAGAATATAGCCCTCGGTTACTACCCGTCCCAAATAATATCTGTGACGAATCGCTTGCTCCCTTTTTGCCGGTGCTATTCACTTGAGCTCTTGAACACATCCAACTCCACATTGTACGATGTACGTTTACGTGCGATCTTCCCCATAGGGATCATTTCACTACTGCCAAACTCTTCTTTTAGTTATATCATATCATATATTATATACTACATTATATGATATCATCCACGTGTTTATTGGAACACCTGCGTTATAAATTTATCTGGTTGATTATGTTTGTTTAAACTGGTATTAGCTTAAATCTTAGTCGTTGTTGTTATTGTTTGAATTTATTCTGCTTTGATTTTCAGAGGCTAAAGATTTATCTAGTGGTTTTTTTTTCAAATTTTTGCTATGCAAATTAAAATATAAACAATTATAAAACTAAAAGAATGTACACAGAAAAAAAAGTCATCTTGGGTCAAGTAATATTTACTTGATCCAAGTATATTCAACTGAAGATAAAATATATTCTTGAGTTAAGTAAATTTTTTTCTTGTTTTGGTCAATCTTGGTTTAAGCAAATATTCCAACCCTAGTTCCAACATGCGTACCAACTTAAGTGAAGAAAAAAACCTCTTAATCCAAGTAAATCATTCTCTTGGTTTTTGAACTTGCTTCATGTACACACGGGCGTATCGAGGCCCGAGTAGGACAGCAGCCATGCGGAAACCCATTTTCAACATTAAATAAAAATTATTGTTTATAGAGCTAGAGTTCCGGGAGTCGAGACTTTTTTTCAGAAATTTCCTCCTCTTTAAGGATCTTTCTTCTGATTGTCGATATCACTTATAGTTATTGAGTTATTAACGCAACAAATTCCTAACCGTGTACTTTGTATGAGTCGAGCAAATACTTGTATATACAAATATTTTCGTCACTACACACTTAACTGTAAATCAGTAATATAATGGAAAATCAGCAATTAAAAATTAATCAAAAATGACTAATTAAATGAACACAAAAAATAAAAATCATGCATAAGGTGATTTTTTTTTTATTTAATTCTTTATTAAAAAAATCTCGGTTTAGTCCAAAAAATCACGTTGCCAACGTTGGCGCTACTTTCCAAACCAAAAGAAAGATTTACTTGGGATAAGTATATGACAGTTATTAGTTCAAGAATAAACAAGAACTTGAAACAAGAAGTAAATTTTGAAGAAAAAGATTTTCTTGAGTCAAGATGACATTTTTTTCTGTGTATAAGCTAATCCTATGTGGTGATTGAGCATTACGGATTATTATTCATAATTTACATTAATTGTGTTATTTTATGCTGTTTATTAATAGAAAAGTCTAACATATACTCATTCAAATATATTGATTTCGAAATGATCGTTTGAGCGTAATATTAAAATTTATAAAAGATAAATTATGCCTCGAATTTATTATTACAAATAAACAACCATAGACTAAAAATTAGTAAAAATAAATATGAAGGACATTGTTGTTTTTTTATACATCAGTCTCATTTTTGTAAAATTGAAAAGTATTATTTTTAAAATTAGAAAACAGTGAAGTAGAATTACAATTCGTGTAGTATAAATAAAATTTTCTGGCAACATTACAGTGCACTGTGTAATTTTACAATGAAAATTGTAAAAATAAAAAAAAGCTTTTTAAATTTTTTATGTGATTATTGTAATATAAATTACAATATTTTTTAATGATTTTACAGACAATTATGCCGAATCAAATTACAAATAATGTTTGCAAAATTAAAAAGCTTTTTCTTGAAAATTGACGAACAGTTCTGTAATATTACAATGCGTATTAGGTTTATACAAGAAGATTGTAAAATTACAATACATCTTAGTAGATTTCCTAACAGGTGTTGGAAAATTACATGAATTATTTCTATTTAGCATTGCTATACACTGATTCGTAATTTTACATATCATTTGTTTTGTAATATGATTGTAATTTTACAAAAATCTTTAACAGTGTATAATGATAATTTTATTATAGGATCCATTCCCATAATTGTTGGAAAGATTCCTATAAATTTCTCTCCGTGTATGATATTTTTAATATCATGGAAATTTCACTCGTACAAAAGACGGTTTTGATGTTCTTGGAAAGCTTAATAAGTAATTTCTATAAATACTTGGTTTTTACATCAAACGAAAAAAAGGTCGGGAATGAGATAATGATGTCATGATTTGGGAAAAAAAATGTTTATACATATAACCATAACAAATTACATGAAAGTGGTTACATAAAATTATATAAGCGTTTTTGCCATAAATAGTTTTATATAATTATATATGATTTTATTGTATGACTATTTGAATATATGACTACTGAAATTTTGATTCTGAGATAGTACTCGGGAACTAATTATCCGATGAAAAGATTCTGTCTATCTGCTGAATTCGAACACTAGTCCTCTTAATCATATCTGATTAACTTTATTTAACCCTCTGAGGCTTCTGGGCGTTTCCCCCACTCTTGGTGAAACGCCCCCTTCTACATTTACTTTACATGCTCCCTACTCCGGTGTCACGCAGCTTACTTAGTCCCATCTCGGCCTCAGAGGGTTAATTGATTTGAAATTAAAGACGAGAAAGACTAGACTTATAATATAATTTCATGAAATTCTTTGAAATTGTATTAAGCTTCTCAAAAACAGTACTTTTTTATTCGATTGTTGATTTTTTCCATTGTTTATGGTTAACCTTTATTGTTTATAGCAATTGTTAACAATAAATAAAATAGAGTATAGATAAATCCTTCTACAAAGAATAATTTTTTAGCTTACTGTTTATTATTTCTGTTTATACTTTTATTCGATTTTACTTAATACAAAAATAAAGTTTTGTTACTTCCTAACTTTCAATTTTTATAATTTATTAACTATATCAAAATTTATACTTCAATTCACTTATCATTTGAATCATTTGTTTCTACTAAGTTCTGCTGAAGTTAATGAGGACTGATGTTTGAGAACTTCATTGACGGTAAGAAACTTTAAGATGAAAAACATTTGAGAGACTTACTTCTTAGAAAACTTAGATCAGTTGTTCCATCGAACATAAAAAGGCCGTAGTTATTACGTAGAGTTACAGGGTACAATCAATATCAATCATCACACTACTGATGATGTGACTTATTTACCTCAAGACGTCAGCTAAAAACACTCTTTAATTAATACAACCAATTAGTTGTTAACATGATGAAGATGAAGTTAACTACTAAACTTAGATGTAAGTAGAAATAGTTACTTTAAGTCAGACGAGTAATACAATACAATACACTTATTACTAGCGACGTATGAAATTGATAGTTTGTGAAAAATCATGTACTCAGAAAAAGTGATATCTGATATCTAACAATTTTATTTTAAAATAAAGTTTGTCATAATAATAAAAAATTTGATAAAGTTTAGATCTCAAGTCGCTGGTAAAATTTTAAACAAACGAATAAATTGTAAAAAAAAAATCATTGATAGAAAATTTGATTT